CGTTGCCATGGAAACTGGCTGGGGGCCTGCTGCTGGTTGCAGCGCGCAGAGCAGACCCTACTTCTTGACTAGGACTGCTGTAGTCCCCGCGTGGTCGCAGGGCGGGTAACTGGGTGAATCTGGGCGGGGTAGCTCCGGGACGAGGAGACGAGGCCTAGGTTTCTCCGTAGACCCAGCACGGCCCATTCCTCCCCGCGACGAGGGACCATTGCTATGGAAACCGGAGCACCGGACCGGCGGGGATTGTGGCTCCTGGGTCGTGACCGGTCTTCTCTCACCTGGAGACCCTCGCCCAAGGTTGTTTCCTGAACTAACCTGCCCTCCCGCCCTCGAGAGAGAGGTAAGACACCGAGGTCTTGACACTGAGCGGGCGAAGAAGCCCATTCCAACGCCAACTCCCCAGGAAACCTACCTGACTCACCCCTGGAAGCGGCCCCTTTCTCCCATCAACCCTTGGACTTTGATCCACGTTTATAACCCAGGATTAACGAAAACTCCGCGGTTTTTACCCACTTTTCCCACACATAATGAGACCAGAAAGACCGGCTTTTGAACCTTGCTTTGTGACCCTAGACAGGTCCTTTTCCCCACTCTGCCTCACCTTCCCCGTGTGTAAAATGGAGATATTAACTCCAGACACTGGCTCGTTATGCTGTTTTGGAGATCGAACCAAAGGCTTTGTACGCTATAAAATGGTGAAACTGAGATGCTGCCGAGTCGCTCTTTCTCCCTCCCCCTCCCCCTTACGCTAAACGTTCTTCAGATCTTTGTGTCATTTCTTCAGGCGATCTTCGCAACTCCGTAGCCCCAGCCTGAAATAAATACCATTATTCTTCATTCCCACAATGCCCTGCATTTTAACTTCCCTAACAACAGCAACAGTAGTTATCATTTGTAGATAAATGTGCCAGGCCCTGTTGTTAAACACTTTACCCAGGCTACCTCATTTAGTCCTCAGAAGATTCTTATAAGGTAGCTACTGTTATCCCTATTTTCCAACTCTGTTGCACCCATAATTGCCTATTTAATGTGTCTCTCCCACTAGACTTTGAGCTCTGAGGGGGGCGGGGGCATGGTTGACTTGTACATTTCAGTATCCCCAGCACCTACTACAGTGCCTGATAAATATTTCTTGACTAGCATGAAAATGACTTTCCTCTCATTACTACCCTCACCTTGCAGAGCAGTATCTCCTCTGCACACTTTTTGTCCCTGTGATGAACAGCAGTCTGCCCTATTCCTGTTGCCCCCTAGGTACTAGTTTTGGGGGCCCTCAGTTCACTTCTCTCTGGGTTTTCAGATGATGAGGATCCGGAACATTCCTTAGCATTTAGGCTTCCAACTGGGTGAAGTTGGGGGTGGGGCTTTTCCCCTACCCTCACAAGACTTCTAGAATAAACCAACCCCATCTGCCCTACCTGGGGTGAGCCTATTGCATTGGACTCTGGGGTACTGGCAGGTAGGATTTGTCGATGCGGCCTTTGGCCTTCCTCTCCAGCAGCCTAAGAACCACCCTCACCTCCACCCATCTCCTCCCCAAAGCTCTAGAGAAACATGGCCAGAGACCTCATCTTTTCCAGAAAACCTCTCAGGAGGCAGAGTTGTGGTTGTTGGAGTCATTTCTTCACTCAGCAAATATTTTTAAGCACCTACTTGTGGGGACACGCAACTGGGCACTGGTGATATAGTAGGAGTGAAGATAGATATAGTGATATCCCAAGAGAACTCACAGACAGATCACGGCAAAAGCACTTCTTCAGGAAATGTTAGGAAGCAGGGCACATAGGGCCTGCCTGGAGCTGGGACTTGATCTAATATGGGGGAGGGGTGTAGTTCTGGAAAGTTTCCCTGAGGAAGTGACCCTTGGCTAAGATCCCAATGCTCAACAGTCCTCTGCTGAATGGAACAGATTAGGACCTGACAGGCTTGTAAGGAAAGGGGGTTCTAGGATGAGAGCAGGAAAGGCCCTGGGCCAGAGAGGACCACCCTCCATACGGAACTGTAAGTGGCTCAGCCCAGCCAAGGCCCTTCAGGATGCGGGAAAGGTTAACAGGAGGCTGAAGAGATGGGCAGGAGCTGGGCCACAAGTGGCCTTGACAGCCAAGCTTAGGAGCTCCATCTCATCGTGACAGTGGGCAGCCACTGAATTATGTTAAGTGGGGGGACAGAACTTTGGCTCCTCATTTGTCCCTTCTCCCTCCTTGCAGTTTTCTACGGACACAGCCTAGCAGGAAGATGCAGCATCTACGTCTCACTGGCCGCTGACCCACCAGCCCGATGACAGCATCTCCGTGTGCCTTCCCGGTTCAGTTCCGGCAGCCCTCGGTCAGCGGCCTCTCACAGATCACCAGCAGCCTGTATATCAGCAACGGGGTAGCAGCCAACAACAAGCTCATGCTCTCCAGCAACCACATCACCACAGTCATCAACGTCTCAGTGGAGGTGGTGAACACCTTATATGAAGACATCCACTACGTGCAGGTGCCTGTGGCTGACACACCCATGTCGCGTCTCTGTGACTTCTTCGACCCCATTGCAGACCACATCCACAGCGTGGAGGTGAAGCAGGGCCGCACCCTGTTGCACTGTGCTGCCGGCGTGAGCCGCTCGGCCGCCCTCTGCCTTGCCTATCTCATGAAATACCACACCATGTCCCTGCTGGATGCCCACACATGGACCAAGTCATGCCGGCCCATCATCCGGCCCAACAATGGCTTTTGGGAGCAGCTCATCCACTATGAGTTCCAGCTGTTTGGCAAGAACACTGTGCACATGGTCAGCTCCCCCATGGGAGTGATCCCCGACATCTATGAGAAGGAGGTCCGTCTGATGATTCCACTGTGAGCCATTCCACCAGCCCCTGCCCCATTGTCAGAGGTACAGATCTGCCATTGATCCTACACCAAGATCTGTACTTAAAACATTCTACTTTCACTGATACAGAAAAACCAGATGATGCCTTTTTTAAGGGCAAGAAAAAAGGAAGGGTACTGCAGCTCTTAATCTTATAATTCATAACTTTAAAGATTCAGCTTATTAAATGTAAGATGGTGAAGATAAGTTTCCTACCCTGCGAGTGACAGCTCATGGCTGCCGACCAGAGGGAAGAGTGAACCAAATGGACCAGCACCCAGCGCATATGGCAAGTTTGGTATTCTGCAGCCCTCCCCACGACCGACCAACCCAGGGATGGGTCTGCCACAATTCTGCCTCATTCTTTTGAACACGAAGCCGGCCTTAAGCATCATGGCACCTCCCATGCTTCTCACAGTAAGTGCCAACCTACTGGATAAGTAGCCTTCAAGCGGTACTCCAGGAGCCCTGGGGGCCCCAAGCCAACCCTGCTTCCACCTTCAACTCTGGTCTTCTAGATTGGACTTACGCATAAGATAGTTTTCAAAGGAAGCATTCCATTGTATAAAATTTCTTTAAAAACATTTCTTTTTGAGCGCTGTTGTATGTGGCAAGATCCCCTACCAGCCTTTGATGAAAGGTGGTATTAGTCTCCATCTCGGGGCACGTGTGGAGAGCAGGCCTGACATCAGGCTCAGAGGTTTCTCTCACAGGCCTCAGCTCAGAAGGCTGGAGCTGTGGACCAGAACCCAGCCTTGTCACCTCCTGCCTGTGTGATGTGGGGCCTCTTGGAGCCTCAGTTTCCTCGTCCAGGCGATGACAGCCCTTTCCTCACAGGGTTGTCGTGAAGATTCAGTGCTTCCTTAGCACAGTGCCTGGCACATGGTAGGTGCTTGGTGCTTGGTGTAACTGGCAGCTCTCATCACGAATGATACTCTGGCCCTGCTGCCCTGGGTCAGCAAGTCGTCTTCACAACAGCAGCTCCCCGATCTGCGCACAGACCTTTATTGCTTAGAAAGTACTCTTCCAAAACGTCATCCTGTGTGGGAGAAAAATGGTTTCGGTCCTTTCAGACCCTGCCTTTAAGGAGGCCTAGACCTCGAAGCCTTTTCAGACTTCCCATTGGATTAAGCACAATGTTTAGTCCATGCGCAACCTGAGACTCCTAGAACAAGGAGCACACAGCTTCCCCCAAAGGGCCTTGTTTAGATTGCTGATCGTTAGAGCCAGTGCCCTGGTCTGGCTGACCGCTGGGGTCCAGTGGGTTATGTGCCAAAGGGATAAATGAGTGGGCCCTACCAGTAGGCCCTGAAATCCAAGATTGTTCAAACCTCCCAGGTGTGTGTGGATCTGGGTCAAGAGCAGCTATTCTAATCTAGAGATTTTCAGACAAACAGTTCATGGGCCAGTCAAGAGCACAACTGCTCGTGGGTCAGAGCCCACTGGAGGCCAAATGCTCCTTTTCTCCAAACCTGCCCCACCCTCACTTCCACAAAGGGCCTGCCCAGGGGTGTAATTTTAGGGTCGGGGGAGAAGGAAAATCGCTACTCAAGACTGATCTCATTTTACAGATGAATAAACAGAACCACAAACACCAGGGCTGGTATGGCAGAGCCCCCCCAAAGCAGAAGAAGCCCATCAGGAAGAAACCCAGGTGGAAAATTTCTTTGAAAACATTTTTAAAGAGAAATTTATTTGAATATCTTTTGTTTCAGTTTTTAACATTTTTAAATTAACATACCATAAAATTAACTTTCTCCTGTGTAAAGTTCTCTGTGTTTTAACACATTCGTGTAACTACCTCCACAATCAGGACACAGGGCGGTTCCATCAACCAAAGAATTCCCTTACGCTGCCCCTTGGCAATCACACCTTTGCCCCACACCAACCTCTGGCAAACACCTATCTGTTCTCCATTTCCTATAGATTTGCCTTTTCCACATTGCCACATACATAGAGTCATAGAGGATGTCACATCTAGAGACTGGCTACTTTCTGTCTGTCTTTGAGATTCACACATGTTGCTTTTTATGGCCAAGTGGTATTCCATTGTTGGATGCACTACAGTTTGTTTTACCTTCACCCGTTGAAGGATATTTGGGTTGTTTCCAGCTTTGGGTGATTTTGAATAAAACTGCTACAAATATTTGTGCATAGGTTTTTATGTGAACATAAGTTTATGAGTGGGATTGCTCAGTCGTATGGTAAAGGTTATGTTTAACTTTTAGAAACTACCAGATTTCCAGAGTGGCAATACCATTTTGCCTTCCACTATGAGAGATCCAGTTTCTCGCCAGTGTTTGGAACTGCCAATATTTTTTATTTCAGCCATTCTGATAGGTGTATGGTATTAGCTTATTGCAGTTTTAATTTGCATTTCTCTAATGATGTTAAGCATTTTTTTTTTTTTTTGCGGTATGCGGGCCTCTCACTGTTGTGGCCTCTCCTGTTGCGGAGCACAGGCTCCAGACGCGCAGGCTCAGTGGCCATGGCTCACGGGCCCAGCCGCTCCGCGGCATGTGGGATCTTCCCGGGCCGGGGCACAAACCCGTGTCCCCTGCATCAGCAGGCAGACTCTCAACCACTGCACCACCAGGGAAGCCCTAAGCATCTTTTTGTGTGTTTAATTGCCTTCCACATTCCCTCTTTGGTGAAGTGTCTATTCAACTTTTTTACCCGTTTTTAAATTGAGTTGTTTTCTCACTATTGAATATTGAGAATTCTTTGTATATTCTGGATACAAGTCCTTTATTAGATATGGATTTGTAAATATTTTTCCCCAGTCTAGCTTGTCTTTTCATTTCTCTTAAAAGTGTATTCTTCAGAGCAAAAGTTTTAAATTTTGATGAAGTGCTACTTACCAGTTTTTCCTTTTATGGATCGTTGTTTTGTTGTCACGTCTGAGAACACTTTGCCTAACCTAATATCACAAAGATTTTCTCTAATGTTTGAGAGTTTAAAATTTTCACTTATTTCCATGATCCTTTTGTATAAGGTGTGAGGTTTAGTTTGAGGTTCATATTTTTTCATGTGGATGTCTAATGGTTTCAACTCCGTTTGTTGAAGGCTGTCCTTTGTGCATTGAGCTGCCTTTGCACCTTTGCATACTCTTCATTCTGTTTGATACATGTCTTTCTTTTTACCAATACCACACTATCTTGATTATTGTAGCTTTTATAGTAAGTCTTACCTTATACCTAATCTTAGAAGGTGTTCAGTCTTTTACCATTAACTATGATGTTAGCTATAGGCCTTTTTGTAGTTGCCCTTTATTAGGTTAAGGAAGAGTTGGAAAGTATTCTCTCTTCTATTTTCTGGAAGAGATATGTGAATTGGTGTTATTTCTTCTTTGAATGTTTGGTAGACTTCAGCAGTGAAACTATTTGGGCCTGGAGATTTCTTTTTCAGAAGGATTTAACAAAGAATTCAATTCCATTAATAGTTAAAGGATTGATCAAATTATCTATTTTATCTTGGGTGAGTTTTGGTAGTTTGTGATTTTCGAGGAATAGGTCCATTTCATCTAATTGTCAAATTTATGCATGTGGAATTGTTTATAGTATTCCCTTAATATCCTTATTAACTGCAGGGTCTATAGTGACATCACATTTCCATTCTCCACACTGATTATTTGTGTTCTCTATTTCTTTGTTAGTCTGGCTAGAGGTTTATCAATTTAAAAAATCTTTTTAAAGAATTACCTACCTTGTGTCTTTAATTTTCTCTATTGTTCTTCCCTTTTCTATTTCATTGATTTCTGCTCTTTATTATTTCCATATTTCTTCTTGCTTTGAGTTTATTTTGCTCTTTTTTCTAATTTCCTAAGGTGGAAACTTAGATTATTGATTTGAGACCTGCATCCCACAAAGTTTTATATATTGCATTTTCATTTTTATCCATTTCAAAACATTTTCTAATTTCCCTTGTAATGTCCTCCTTAATCCATGTATTATTTAGAAATGTGTAGTTTAACTTCTAAGTATTTGGAAATTTTACAACCATCTCTCTGTTATTTGTTTCTAGTTTGATTCCATCAAGGTCAGAGAACATATGTTGTATGATTTCATTTCTTCTAAATTTGTTAATGTTTACTTAATGACGTAGGATATGGTCTGTCTTGGTGAATGTTTCATATGCACTTGGGGGAAAAAAAGGTTATTTTGGATAGAGTGTTCAATAAATGTCAATTAGGACCAGATGATTGATGGTGGTTTCAATTCTTTTATACTCTTCCTGGTTTTCTTTTTACTTGTTCTATTGATTACTAAGAGAGGAATGTTGAAGTATCCAACGAAAATTGTGGATTTGTGTACATCTCCTTTCAATTCTATTAATTTTTGTTTCATGTATTTTGAAGCTTTGTTTTTAGGTGCATACATACCTAGGATTTTTATGTCTTCGTGGTGAATTGACCCTTTTATCAATATGCACTGTCTCTTAATTTTTTGAAGTCTATGTTGTCTGACATTAATATAACCACTCCAGCTTTGTTTTAAGTAGTGTTTGTGTGATACATCTTTTTATATCCATTTATTTTTAATCTAAAGTGTGTTTCCAGTAGATAGCATGTAGTTGGGTCTTTTTTAATACATCCAATTTGTCTCTTAATTGGTGTGTTTATGCCCAAAATATTGATATTTGGATTTAAGTCTACCATTTTATTGTTTTCTATTTGTCCTTTCTGTTTTTCATTCCTTTATTTCCCTTTTCCTGCCTTCTTTTGAATTATTAATCTCTTTAAGTATTCCACTTTAATTTTGTATAGATTTTTTTAGAGGTTGCACTAGAGATTATAATATACATATAACTTTTCATAATCCACTTAAATTAATATCTTACTACTTCTCACTGCTATTCATATTGGGAAATGTATTAGTTTTCTCTTGCTGCTATGACAAATTACCACAAACTTAGTGGCTTAAAACAGCACCTATTTATTACTTCACAATTTCTATAGGTCAGAAGTCTGGCTGGGCTTGACTGAGTCTTCTGCTTAGGGTCTCACAAGGCCAAAATCA